ATCCGTCTGGCGCAAAAAAATTCGATTTTTCAACCTCTCTCATAATGCATAGGTCTTTTCTTTTATTTAAAAAAAATGGTAGCTCGCTACCTCTTCTACAGTATGAGAAATCGGTTCCTAACTCTCCAAAAAAGTGATTTTGAGAAAACGAAACAACAAGTTTGTGAGATGTGTAAACGGGTGTGAATGTGACAAAAGTAATCAGTGTTATATATATTTGAAATCAGCGTAAAATTCTCTTTTTAAGTGACATAATTAAATAAAAATATGAAACAATTTTTAATTTCACTATAACTGTCATGACCCCTATACTGCAATTTCGTCATGTATAAAGGACTCGAAGCAGAAACGACTACGATGATGGTGGAGATGATCAGCAAAAAAAAAATTAACTTCGAAAAATTATGAGACATATGAGTGGCTGGCTTTGATAAAACAAACTGTAAGATGCAAATTTCCATCAGACAGTAAGAATTTATGATTGTCATAAACAGACAGATGTTTTTTTTTCAGTAGAAACTTTTATTGATTTAGGTGCACAATAAACAATGGAATGCTAGTTTTTTTTCCTCTTGCTATCTCAGGGAGTATCCTCTAACTGTGTTCAGCGGATGCACAATCGAAAATAACCTATATATATGTTCAGAATAAGCAAAAATGAATGTAAGCTAGGATTGAAAATCGCTCGAACCTCTTTTTTTGTAGAAAACTTTTCCAAAAATCTGGTTCTAAAAACCCGCCATATTGCTGTAATTAATGAAAATAACAGAACGTATATGTATTTCCCCTTCGGAACCGTCTACAAGTTTGTTGACCACTGTCACATCCCTGTAACTAAGGGAAATTTCTGAAAAAACCTTATATTTCTACTACTGCTCCCAGAAAGTCCCTGTTTTTACCGCCAAAAGCCATTCAAAGTGCAATAAATCGCACATAATCTGAAAGAGGACACTTTGGGCTTTCAGTACGTATGCTTATCTCAAAATCGATAAATTTATATTTTTTAGAATTTCGTACTAATTAACAGATTTTGTTATGATAACTATTTGTCTTATTACGATTTTGATTATAATCTGTTCAATAGTATATCTTTATAAACCTATACATGAATTAATTCAACAAAAAATTATTTATTCATCATGTTTCAAAACACCGAAATCTGATTATATTCCTATATTTGGTCATATGTTCTCATTAGCTGGTCAAATTTCAAAACGAGGTAACTCTATCAAATAAATATCATTATTTGAATTCAAATCTGTTTTTGTAGAATATTATCAATATTTGTTGAAGTATTGCCGAGAATATTCAAATGAACCGATCATTTGTATTTGGTTTTTCTTATGGCCATTTCTTGTATTCCATCGAGTCGACTATTTAGAGGTCCGTATTGATCTTTAGCTATTGTTAACGATTAGGAAAAATTTTGCTTTCTGACTAACATGCCATTTTCAATCTAATATATAACAATATCAGTCGATCACTGGCAAGACATATAGGAAAAAATTGAATTATGGAATTTCACTCTGTAATTTTTTGTATAGATAGATCTCATCATCTATAGAAAAATTCTAAAAATTTCATTCCTACAAAAAATGGTTTGTTCTTCAGATATCAAATGTTAAAGAACCTTGATTTTCTGACTATATCTTGTGATCTAGAGAGCAAAGCTTTCTTTTGGACTGAACTTTAAAAGCTTTTTATTGATAATAAGATTTCACTATGGAAATTTTTTTAGACCTAAATTATGTAATTCAATTTTTTCATATATGTCTTGTCAGAGTGTGAAAAATTCAGTAAAATGATCCAAACTCGAGAAGAACGGAATATAGAGCGCGGAAGATGAACCATTTTAGGTTTCACAAGTTCTAAAAAGTGATAAATATCAATATGAACTATAGCTCAAACAATCTAATGAATTTTCTCATACTATTCATTTCTCTAGATTTTTCTGGCGGCTGGTTCAAAGCATTTAACTAAATCACCAGATTATGCATTGCTCGATGATTGGTTGAAAACAGGATTGTTACTTAGGTAGGTTTTTTTTTATAGAAATATAGATACGCAAACAAAATTTACTTCAGCATATGATAAAAGATAATTCTCAATATGTTTTTACTTTTAGCTCAGGTAAAAAATGGAAAACACGTCGACGAATTATTACTCCATCATTTCATGATAGTAATCTTTTGGCTAATTATATTGATATATTTAATGAACAATTAGATATTGGTTTAAAATGTTTTCAGACATTAGCTGATCAACAAGTAGAAACTGATTTATATCCATTGATATCAGCTTGGACACTTGATGTTATTTGTGGTGAGATATATTTTCATCAGAAAATTCTCTATGAATGATAATCATCATCTTTTAACAATAGAGACAGCAATGGGTAAAACAGTTCGAGCACAAACTGAAGAATCTGAATATATAAAAGCCGTTGTTCGGTATGATTTTATTTATATAATTGATGATTTATTTATTTGAATTAAGAATTACGGAGCTTATAGCTTTACGAACGCGTTCACCATGGTTATGGCCTCGAACAATATTTAAACTTACTGCTCAAGGTCGTGAACATGATCGCCTTCTGAAAATCATACATAAATTTACTCGACAAGTAAGAATTTCAATGAATGGAGCCACATATTTTGCATTGTATGTCTATCATATGAGTTAATGGTTAGAAGTTTGATGCTATGGATTTCAATTCCAAATGAATACAATATTCAGATTATTATTCTCAGTGAATATCGTTTGCCTAATAAATAAATCATTCGATTTCGTTAACGACGTTAAAGTTCGAAATTTTTAATTGATTTCATTACCAAGCTTTTGCATATGAGAATATTTAGTCAGCTATATTTCAAATTATTTTCTTAAGACAAAGAGATAACTACATAGTGCCCTTGAAATTCTAACGAAATCAATTTTAAACAACTATATTTGTGAAACTTTTTGTTATAATGCATCAGTCGAAGAGTTTGCGCCGATGACGATAGAGAAGCTTTTTCAATATATTATCCTGCGAGTAAAATAAGATAAAGACTCTGTTCCAGTATACACAGTTGTTATAGTTTAAAATAAATGCGGAAACTTCGGATTTAAATCCGAGAGTTATGTGTACTTCAAAAAGTGAATCATACAAATCAATCATTCTAGACTGTCTGAATATCAAAATTATACTGTGAAATCTACCATTTAAAAGGTTGATTTCTATTGCGCGTTGCCAAACCAATAGGACATGGGCCGAATACAGCTCAAGTTTGAACTCTTTCCCTTGATTTACCCTAAGAAAGTCGTTTTTCCTATAACTTCATTTCTATTGGTCACTGCGCAACTAATAGTATTTCGATGGAAGTGCAGTACACATTCGAGTTCTCCATATCTGAAAATCTCGAAGTATCATCAGTGTGACCGAAAGATAAATCTCTATTTGTGGATCAATTAGATCGTGGACCAAAATATAACCTAGTTCTCTTTAATTGTCCTCGTCATTGGTAAGTCAACCTTCTTGTTTCTTTATGTTT